GTAAGGGGTAATGAGAGAGGTTTTTGACCTTATGACGTCGGACATTGATTAATCAATCAGCGTTGACGTTTCTAGCGGTTTACCCACACGCCAAGAACAAGCGATAACAGAGTGTTTCATTTGCCAATTCCTCAAATCAACTAGAACGCCCATTATATAACAACTGTTCCAGATCATAGTGTTGTGAAGACAAGTAAAACAAAATTACCATCGTAGCACACTACATAGCGTATGCCAGTCTTCATTATCCCAGTCGGTGCAGAACAGTATGACGTTAAACCCATTTCATATATTTTAATGGTAGCCGTTCGTTCGTTCGTGGAGTTTTACACCCACTCCCTCCTTCGGTGATATCACAGACAAATATGCCGTTCAAGTGCTTTTTATATCTAAACTAATTGTAAAACGCCGGTGTGTTTAAGCCAGGGGGGTGTAGCGTTTGCAAGTGAAAAGGTTAAGCCGAATGATACACCCCCGGCACTGTCTAGAGAGCTATTCTTCCAGTTCTTCTTTTGTGGCTTTACGCCCGCTTCCACTTAAGGTGATATCGCAGACAAGTGATAATGCATGACGGGCTACTGCTTTGGCTCGCCATAGATTTGCGAGGATAAATAAACGTTATAATAACCATTCCGGTAAAACTTCACTGGATCCCAAAAGCGATTAATGGAGTTTTACCCAATTCATAATTACTTTTTCTATACCTGCGTACCGGTACTTAAATAGATTTCTTTCAATAAGCTTTAAAATGTCAAAATTGCTAATATTATGAAGTGCAGACGCTTAGAGTTAGTTACATGTAATCGAAAGGTTAACAAGAACGTAAATAAAATAACAAAAACATTAAATAACTGGTTGCTTTCGGTTCTCATAAACGTGCCATTGTTTATAAAGTAAAGCAGCTGATAAAACTAACAACATTTTTAAACTCTTTTTCAAGAAACACGCAGGGGAATATGGAATATACTTTTTCAGACGGATAAAAAAACACGCAGGAGAAAATCGAATTTACGACTGTTTCAGTTTAAATTTCCTGTTTGTAGATATTCTGTTTTTAAAAACAAAAAGTTCCTAGTTTTTTTTTCTGGGGAAATACTATTTATATATTAAAGTCGCATAGAGACTTTAAATGCCTTGCAAGTTACAATATTGTAAACGTATGATACTTTCTATAAAAAGTATGATAATTTCTAAAAGTTTGATAATGTCTAAAGGAATATAAGTTCGAAATGCTTCAATTCCCTTCACTGTTTACAAATCTATTCCGTTACGTGTTTGTATCGCATGTCTGTGATAAAGGGGGATAACGCAACTAAAAGTTTAGTAATTTCAGACTAATCTAGCAACGGCTAGATATTGTAAAACTCGCAGTCGTTGCTTCAGGGGGGTGGGGAGAGAGAGAGCGAGAGGGAGAGAGAGAGAGAGTGAGAGAGAGAGAGAGAGAGGGGGAAGTTGACGTCCACTCGACACAAACTAGGTCATTTTGGGACTAACATATGGTTCGATTTTATTTCAATAATTCGCTTGCGCGTAGGGGTCTTTTGCAGTAGGAGGCAACCCGCGAGGTTAGACAGGCGACCCTACTCCTTGTCACGTACAACCAGGGAATCGAAACCATGCCAGTTTGACAGGCGACCCTACTCCCTGTGTTGCTTCAGGGACATGATGATAAATATATAAGATATGGGGGATCACGTGGCTAAGTGGGTAAGACGCTAGCTCGCTAGCCTGGAGGTCGGGTGTTCGATCCCTGCATTGGCCGAGAAAGTTCATCCAGATTTTCCGGCCTGGTTCTCCCTTGTCAGTGATGCAGGACGGGGGGCTGACAAGGAAAGCTGTCTAGTCGTTCGGATGGGACGAAAAACCGAGGTAACGTGTACACATTGGCGTGCACGTAAAAGATCCCTTGGCAGTTGGAATTCGATATAAGAGTAGGCGATAGTGCCGCTGCCCGGGCAAAATTTCCCTCATAGCACACTGTATGGCGTATGCCCGTCTTCATTAGCCCAGGTTGGGAGCAGAACAGTAGGACGTTAAACTCCATTTCATTTCTTTATATAAGATATTGTCAACACCAGCCAGACTGGCATCTTTTTTAATTAATTAAATCTATATTAATACAGCCCTCAACAACTTATCTCTCGGGTCTCCACGAACTACACAGTAGAGACTTTAGTATTTTCATACGTTATAATAGGTCGTATTGAAACACGATTACTCAATGACCGACGATCTGTCTTTGATGTTGAAATATAACAATATAACAATATATTCATACTTTATAATATAAGTCTATTTATACCACAAGTTTGTAGTCAATTTCTCGCTTGACATCATCCTGTGTAGTAACATGAGTGTAGACAAATACATTTCTTTATTACTTTATAGAACGAACAGGGTAGACATTTGTTATATTAGATTTATTACGCATTGGAATTTACATTAAGAACAAACATATCAAATAAAGAGTAAGCATACCTTACCTCGTGTACGACTCTTGTCAATGTATTTATAGCTTTTGGTTTTAAACCGGATTTCCGATGACCTGTAGAAAAAGAGAGAAATGGGATTTAACGTCCATTCGACCCAAACTAGGTCATTTCGGGATTAACATATGGTTCAATTTTATTTCAATTATTAGGAGGCACACGGGGGACCCGGAGAAAACCCACGAGGTTGGACAGGTCTGTCAATGAGTCAAGTGACGTGGTTTCAAATCCCTGCTTGTACGTGACAAGGACTAGAGTCAGCTGTACAACTTCGAGGGTTTTTCGATTTCCACTTAACGTGAAGGTACACACAGGATCTCGTGTTTTCGTTTTTCCTTGTCCTAAATGAAATGAAATGGATTTTAACGTCCTACTATTTTGCTCCTATACTGGGCGAATGAAGACGAGCAAAAAAAGTGTGCTATGCGGGGAAATTCTGACCGGGCAGCGGCACTATCGAATTCCAATTCCCAAGGGATCTTTTACGTGCACGCCAATGTATACACGGGGCCTGTGATATTCGTCCCATCCGAACGACTAGACAGCTGTCCTTGTCAGGCCCTCCGCCCTGCACCACTGAAAAGGGGAATTCACGTCGGAAAATCCCGATGGACTTTCTCGGCCAATGCATGGATCGAACACGTGACCTTCAGTCTAGCGAGCCAACGTCTTGCCCAGCTAGCGACCGTGGCTCCTGTAAGAACCCGAGAAACTGTCTCGGCCAACACCAGGAACGAACCCTTGACCTTCTGGTTTGGAAGTCAGCACAATACTTTAATGATCACCCTGGCTCTCAATATAGGAACTTTCTGGGCCAAAACCTTCTGGTTTCTGATCCAGTGCAGTATACTCCCCGAGCCAGCGCGGCTCTCAATAAAGGAACTTTTTTGGCCAAAACCTTCCTGTTTAGGCTCCAGTGCAGTATACTCGCCGAGCCAGCGCGGCTCTCATTAAAGGAACTTCCTGGGCGAACACCATGGATGAACCCGTGACCGTCTGGTTTCTGATCCAGTGCAGTATACTCGCCGAGCCAACGCGGCTCTCAATAAAGAGCTGTCAAATTTGTGGCTTTAATTGAACTCTCCAGTCTTCGAGTTTACACATTTATCTCCCAGACAGAAAATAGACATTCTAAGGGTTTAGCTTAAATACCACAAACAAATATCTACTTTCTAGATACATCAAACGTATTTTACATTGACTTCATACTTCACAACAACGACGCCATCTTCTTTCTTCACATGTTACACATCTTTAGCCAAATCGACAGAATTCGCCAAAATCAAACTCGGAGAGTGTGACGATGTACACAAAACAGCGGCATTCTTCTGGATCCCCGTGTGAAATATTTACACCGATAAATTTTGTTTATTTTGGTGAAGATAGAAAAGAAGAATCGAACGTTCAAAACAAATTTGTTGAATTTATAAAGCGCATTATATACTCAACAACGACCATTATATACTCAACAACGACCATTATATACTCAACAACGACCATTATATACTCAACAACGACGATTATGATATTTAAATTCACTTTGATCAAAGGTAGACGACGGATTCGAGTACCCATAAAACATCTTATGGGGTGGTGGGGTGGTGGGGTGGGGGTGGGGGCAATTAATTTTGTCACATATATTTTGTCACATATCATCCCCAATTCAATACATTATTTTAACTAACTCAAAGAGGTTTAGAAATGAAATGGGGTTTAACGTCCTACTGTTCTACTCCGACTGGGATAATGAAGGCGGGCATATGCCGTATAGTGTGCTATGAGGGTAATTTTACCCGGACAGCGACGCTACGGCAAGTGACAATTTCGGTGCACGCCAATGTGTACACGGTTTTTGGTCCCATCCGAACAACTATACGCCAGACCTCTCATAGCGGTTTAGATCATTTAATGGGGAAGACTAGTGGCTCGGTAGAGTATGATCAGGAATTATCCAGCTTTGTACGTGTAGTGGTTCAGGATAGGGTGTCTGACAATAGTCCTTAGGATGGGGTGGGTGGGGGTTGATGGCTGAATGGTTAGCGTGTGCGCGCTGTATCATAAAGTCTGTCATTGAGTCAACTGGCGTGTTTTCGATTCCCAGGTTGTACGTGACAAGGAGTAGGGTCGCATGTCCAACCCCGTCGGTTTTCTCCCGGTCCTCCGGTTTCCTCCCACTGATAAAGACCCCTACACGCAAGCGAATTATTGAAATAAAATTGAACCATATGTTAGTCCCGAAATGACCTAGTTTGTGTCGAGTGGACGTTAAACCCCATTTCTCCCTCTCTCTTTATATTACAGAAATATACGTGTTGGGACATTCAAAATAACATTTCACCGTCCCGGTGTTTAAATACAAACTGACGATCGAGAAGAAATGAAACGGAATCTGTAACTTTGCATTTTGTATGGTAATGTATAAATGTGATTTGTTGACAAGAGGTTTGTTGACAATCAACAAAGTTTCTGTCAACAAACAAACACAGCTAGTTTAAACTGTATCAACAGAAGACGATTGGGCGGTGTTTTTGATTCTGTTCAAACCGTGTGTGTGTTGTTCAGTTTGATATTTCAAGTGTTATCAACGTGCAGCTAGCGATACATAGGGCAATATAACTTGAAAGGGATATTTTTACACGATGATATTATTTCATATTTTATTACCGTTAGCAGGTAAGTTATGATTTTCTGAGATTTTATAAATGAAATGAAATGGGGTTCAACGTCCTACTGTTCTGCAACGACTAGGCTAATGAAGATCGGCATACAGCGGCCTACGGCCTACTCTTATATCGAATTCCAACTGTCGAGGGCCCTTTACATGTACACCAATATGTACACCGGACCTCGGTTTATCGTCCCATCCCAACGACTGGACACTGTTTCTTGTCAGGCCCTCCGTCTTGCACCACTGACAATAGGGTTTTAAATCATTGAAATTTTGAATTTTGTTTATGGGTCTAAATTTTTTTGGTAATGTTAGTAGCAAGACCGAGTGTATTAAACAAAAATGAAATATTCATAAAATCATGATTTTTATCCGGTGTGGTTCCCCATTGTCAATGATGGAGACCGGAGGGCAGGGCAAGGGACAACGTATAGTCGTTCGAATGGTCCTGCGTACACATTGGCGTAAAATAACCCTTGATAGTTGGAATTCGGTATAAGACCAGGCCGTAGCGCAGTTGTCCGGGCAGGAATTTCCCTCATAGCACACTGTATGGAGTAAGCTCGTCTTCATTGGCTCAGTCGGGGCAGAAAAGTAGGACGTTAAACCCCATTCCATTTGATTTCAGTTCTTATTGGATGAATAATCTATCTCTGTAGAACATAATGAATCCTAAAATAAATTGAAACACATTTATAATGATTCTATCAATAAAATCTTTACTAAAGATAAAAAGCTGGCAGTTCTCACTATAACAGTTAAAAACTAGATAATGTAAAGACAAATTGCTGAAAATTTCATTCAAATTGATCCAATATGAACCGAGATTTAAGCGATTGATCATCATTACTAAAATCTGTACGATGAAATACATAGTCTCGATCATCCATTTCATGATTAAATTATGAATGGAAGTCGAGCAGCAAATGGGATCATAATCCAGTAAATATCACAGGCTAGCGATGCCATCGAGAGTTGATTGTGGTCTGGATAATTTAATTAATATCTAATTAATAATTTAGATAACATTTCAGGTCTAAAGAAAGACCTGCAATAGGCATATTTAGCTCTTGCATAATGTATCTTTAATTATGACATCCATTCATAATTTAATCATGAAATGGATGATCGAGACTATTTTTTTTTATCGTACCGACTTTAGTAATGAGGATCGAGGCTAGGCTAAATTTAATTCAATCGCTAAATTCTCGGTTTATAGTGGATCAGTTTGACTGAAATTTTCAGCAAATTCCTTTACATTATCTAGTTTTTAAGCACCGCCAGCGCTTTATCTAATCTCCCATAATGTATCTTCAATAAATTCGACGCAATATGCATTCGTGAAAGTCTGAGGAAGGGGTGGGGGACTCAAATCGTCGGTCCCTGTGCAGCTGCATTATTTGTACTGCCTTAAATACGACTCCGGATGTATGTTCGTTTAATTTATGTAATTATCTTCTGCAATATCGTCATTGGACAGTACAATATACATATTATTGGATTTCAATTTGTCTATAAATGCATTCTTACCTTCTTTCAACAATAGCTTATTGCAAACAGGATCTTTGCTGTAGCTTATAGCACACATTGATCAAAAATAGACAACAATAATGTTTCTGGGCCATTCAAGAACAACATGAAATGAAATGGGGTTTAACGTCCTACTGTTTTACTCCAACTGGGCTAATGAAGACGGGCATACGCCATTTAGTGTGCTATGGGGGTAATTTAGCCCAGACAGTGGCGCTAAGGCCTACACTTATTTCGAATTCCAACTGTCAAAGGTCTTTACGTGCACGCCAATGTGTACACGGGACCGGTACACTATACGTTGTCCCTTGCCAGGCTCTCTGGCCTACTTCACTAACAAGGGGGGACTACGCTGGAAACTTCCGATGAACGTACTCGGCCAAGGCAGGGATCGAACACGGGACCACCAGGTTAGCGAGCCAACGTGCTACTCACTGAGCCACAGTAGCCCCCAATTCAAGAACGACGGCCGCAATGTATTTGTTGGGAAGGTTTAATGCAAACTGTAGAATGAAAACCCTTTATCTTCCGTAAAAAAACACCCAATTATTTTTGTACTTTGGTTTTATGCATGTAATAAGTATTCCTTTCTATAGTAGTTTTGGGAAAAGGATTAAAGATGCCTTCCTGTCTACAAAATGTTTGATTTGATGATACAATAATATTTGGACTAAAAACATATTCAAACTAAATTATCTATCAAACGTTTGCTTCAGGTCTCTATAAAACATTTCAATCGCAAGTAAAATACCCGATGTCGTATAATCTATTATAAGAAGTCTTGTGTGTCACGTGACTTGATTGAGGGAGACTCTATTTCAGCTTGTGTTTGTTATTAATCTTGGATTACGTGATTTGATTGAGGAATAATTCAATGCTCAGCCTGTATTTGTCATTAGTCGCTATACATAGAAACCTAAGTAAATTATTGAATTATCCTATGCTAACTTCTTTCTCAGCCGTTTGATCGCAGTCTACTGGACGTTTAAGTCTCTTGCACAACTTTTAGCCATTAGATCAGGGGCTCCGGAACGGTACGAGGGCCAGGGTACCAAAAGATAGTAGGGGGGGGGGGGTCTCCCCCCGGCCTCTAGAAAAGTTTGAAATTGGTCAATTCCGAGAACGCTATTTAGAGCGCCTCTAGCATTCCAAATTCCAACATAAAACCATTTAAAATAGATGATAATGAAAGAGACAAAAGCCTGATTATTCACAATTTTCGTATCATACATATCTATCATTTAAAAATGAATAGACTAGTAAAAAGGTTGAAAACTTTCATCATTAGGGCATTAGATCAACACATAAAAGGCGCTCCTTACGAGACTCGAGCAGACAGACTGTCAGTTAGTAACACCCTAACAATGTTGTCATGTTGGCGTCCCATAACTAGGTGTTTTTCAGGGAATCCAGTATTTTTCTAGTAACATTGATCGTCTCTACTGTCCATGTATACCAAATAACTACCCGATAAATACTTTCTTGGGAATGTATCTTTAAAAGTTTGGCTTGTTCGTCCATTAGTTACACTCGGCAAACCTCAGCAGATTCCAGTACCCTACCTCTAGCCTCGGCTGTATGACGAAGTCCGCCATTGGAACTACTTTCAAGTTCCGAGATAACCAACATCGTTGCCCATGACGACACCTTTGACGAATGTTTTATCATACAGATATTTCAAAGTCTGAAGCTGTTTTTCTTTCAAGTTTATCCGATTTTCTTCAGACAAGGACAGCTTTGCACTAAAAATTCTACACACGCTTCGAAAGACGCAATTTTGATAACTTCCTTTTAAAAGCGGCAAGTTTTCCTAATAAGTAAACCAGTGCCGCATCGCAATTGTATAGACGTAGGTACATATCACCTACCGTCATATAGCCGAGGCTAGATGTAGAGTAACGGAATCCGCTGAGGTTGACCGAGTGCCATTAGTTATTCAAAAATTGTTATACCTGAATTGATCTATTCGCTATTGTAAATCTCATCCTGTGAAGTATGTGAACTAGATTCATGTCTCAGTTACCATGGCGCTGGTTCGCCAGTCTGGCGTCTCCTTGTAAATGATGCAGGGTAGGGGTGGGAGGGGAGGCTGTCAAGACACCCTTGGCAGTTGGAATGGAAACAGAGAGAGAGAGAGAGAGAGAGAGAGAGAGAGAGAGAGATAATTTTCCCCATAGCCTTGTTGTTGATGAAGAACAGTAGGACGTTAAACCCCATTTCATTTCATTTCCTATGTCAATTGTTTGATTCAATGTACCAGTAATCAAATTAGACTCATAGAACACTGCATGGCGTAGGCAAGGAAACAGTCTATCGACCGGATGGTACAAAAAAGGGGGCCCCTTGTATACTATTAGCAGCCCTGTTGGTTCAGAAACGCAAGGCGTTAAATCCCAGATTTGTGGTTGTGGTAGCGTAAGCTTCTGAAATCCATATACAATCTGACAATATGTAGGCCCTACTGTTGGTAATGGAAGCTAATGAATGGAGCTTAAGTGTCTCGTGAAAACATGACGTCATTCATTTTGACACCAACATACTGCTTGCTATTCTCGGGGTAAAGAATCTACTCGGGCGATTGTGATTCAATAGCGGCTGACACATTGGTGTGCAAGATCCCTTGACAGTTGGAATTTGATATTTGAGGCAAAATTCCCTCATAGCACACTGTATGACGTGTGCCCGTCTTCATTAGCCCAGTCGGAACAGAACAGTAGGAAGTTGAGCCCCATTTCATTTCATTTCAATGACCGCTGATCACGTGGTGTTCGATCTGTCTATGTTTTAGGCGATGCCAGGGTAAATATATATTTATCTCCAAAGAAAGACAATAGGTGTAACGGAGGCTTTTCAAACATTTCTGTTAGACCGTATTTATAAAAAAAATATCAAATATTTTCAGTGTCAGCCAAAATACTTTAAATAAGTATAACTATTCAGTTCGTCTGCCAACATCCTGCGTACTAGCGCACTGATCAACGTGTTCTACCATCTTCCGTATAAATGCTCTGGTCACTGGTGTAGGACGGATGATTGTGCGCATGCATCTGAACGGCTAGCTACATATCCATTGTCAGTAACAGAGAGAGAGAGAGAAAAATGGGGTTTAACGTCCACTCAACACAAACTAGGTCATTTTGGGACTAACATATGGTTTTAATTTTATTTCAATAATTCGCTTGTGTGTAGGGGTCTTTCGCAGTGGGAGGAAACCGGAGGACCCGGAGAAAACCAAGAGATTGGACAGGCGACCCTAGTCCTTGTCACATACAACCAGGGATTCGAAACCACGGCAGTTGACTCAATGACAGACCTTATGATACAGCGCGCACATGCTAACCATTCGGCCATCCAACACCCATTGTCAGTAACAGGGGTATTACACTTGACCACTGGGAACATGGCCTGATAGACACGTTTAACCCGTTTGTCAGTTACACGGCATTCTGCACACAGAGATCCATCTACCCCATAC